GGGGAACCCCGAATCATCCACGATTTCCGAGCAGGATCACATTACAGAGTCATTGTAGTATTACAACAGTTTATTCAAATAGATATACCAGAGTAAAAACAACGGAAGTCTTACAATAATATAGTTTACAAACCGTTTGTTTCAAACCATACAACTAAGTTCGATTAATATTACAAAACGTAGTAGTGGAGTGGCATTATAACATATTACAGAACACACAAATAAGCTGCCCTGCCCAAGGGCCACGCATTTACTTATCGTCATCGCACTGAACAATAGTCATGCAGCACGATCCAAAACAGATCTGCTCATGAGCCTCACCTGCAACAAGGGTCAACGAACCCTGAGTACAAAAGTACTCAACAAGACTTAACCGAAATAAGAATTTAAAAGAACGTAGAAATGCAGACTCATGGGATTCAAGGTACGGCTTTAGCAATAATCAAGGTTCTTTTGCGTAAAAGCATTTTAACAAAATTCTTTATATCAACGTTTAAAACTTCATAAGATCATATACAAAGCTGACACGATCCGAATTGAGATCATGAAACTTTGTATCCAACACCTTCACAGACCATCCTCAGGTTCCAGTTATTTATTACTACGATGATGAACAGTGAGTTGAGTCTCCATAACCGAGGAGCAACGATGATTCGAACCGTTTAAAAACCCAACTGGGAATTCCAGACCACACGACATATGCAGGTTCCCGACCTACATATACCAACCTACCCTCGGATCCTTTAAAACAAGAACGGGTCCGCGCCACCCGAGAATACAGTACTCCACCAATCCAGCCCATTGCCACGTGGGTACACGCTATTCCCGCCATCTCTCCACTCCCAGTGCGCGAGTAGCCAATCTCGTAATAGAATAGCCAAGTTAAGGCTTACCGGAGTATGCGGTTAGTACTACAAAGTCTCACCTCATGCAATTCAACAACGGTACGGACCTTAATCGACACAGGCGGAAAGAACCTGCTCACAAGACCTCCATGTTTTGTGGCTCACACACACCGAATCCGCCCGGTCTAGATTTATTACTCCACATTCTCATATCACATGTTAACATAATTAACAAAGTTCCATTTAAAACTTGTAGGTGACAGGTAATCACCCGACTCTTATCGTTCTAAGCATAGCTAAACAAAACTAGGCATATACGAATTTAAAACTGGTAATATGGTAAATATGGAATAACAAAGTTGGTAATATACCAATTTGGTTTTCACTTGACTCCTAATCACTTAATGCAGTAAAAGAAGCAAAAGCAAAATCAATTTGTAAAATACAAGGTAGGGTTGTATGTATCCGGGGCTTGCCTTCGTTGATGAAAAAGACTGGGTCCGGAGTCGTCCCACCGATATCAACACCAACTTCCACAGACGGATCAACCTCCTCAACTACTTGATTAACTACCATGTGTTCACCTTCGTTCACTACATGTAGTAACAATGCCATGTTTAACATGATGCAGATACAAAATATGATGCTCAATGATGGATGCAAAACTTAACAACTTGAATACAACTTTCCTTCGCGGTACAGTTACAAGTTAAACTAACTAAACTATTTTCACAACACTCACAACAATTGTCAAGGATCATCACCAACTAATGACCCAAGGACATCACTTAATCAAAAACTCAAACAAAACCTAAATCACGAAAGGTTACTATTTGCTTTTCTGAATTAATTAATTAATTAATAATTATGAAATAAATCAACTTGTTCCAATTGATCTCAAAATTTTTGTATATGTTCATCACATGAAAACTAAGTGACAAAACAATTTTCATAATTTTTGGATACATAAATAAGCCTAGAAAAAATCCTGGAAACTCATTTATTAATTAATTGAGCAATTTTTATCACATCCAAAAAGTACTGAAAATCAACATTTCATATTTTTCCTAAATAATACACATCACAGAGAAGTCACACAAAAATTTTCAGAATTTTTGGAGCTCTAAATAAATCTACACAAAAATAACAAAAACAGATACTATTTATTCAATTATGAAAATAGAAAAATCCCATTTGAACGCTGAGTCACTGACAACCGGGTCCCACTTGTCATCTTCTACCTCGCGCTTTGACCACGGCGACACGCGCGCTGACTGGCGAAATCTCGACGACGTTGGGATCACCGGCGATGGCGACTACACCAACATGTTCCCCACGACTATGCGCACCTACTGCCGTCCTTATTTGCACCGATTATGACTCAATTCTAGCTCAACGCTGCCCATGTAGCTTCGACGGTGGACACTGTTCAAAAAAATTACAGAAATGTCATTCGTCAAAATTCCCAAATTACTCCCAAATTTTCATAACAACTCAAAAATCTTCAAAAACAAAAGTTGTTCAAAATTTAAAGTTCTACAACTTTGCTTTTATAACCAACCCCTAATTCGGTCTACATTTTGAAATGAACTTTTGAATTCAAAAAGGGGACATTTAAGGAATTTCGCCTTTTCAAATAACTTCAAATTTTACTAAACAACTTGAAAAACTCCAAAAACAAACTTTGTACAACTCGACAAGCTCTACAACTTTGTTTTAAGACTCAACCCCAAAATGTGCTTCGATTTTGAAATGGATTTTCAGGGTCGGATTTAAATATTGAAAATCAGGGTTTTCGGAATTTCAAATCAATACAAAGATTTCAAACTTGATTCAAACAATACCAAGCAATACTTATAACATAATTGTAAACTTGTTTTAGTGAATGCATATCAAAGTTTACAGTATGACCAATGCCTTGCAATGCATATGATGATATGTCCGGTTTTTAATATTTAAACACCCGGGATATTACAGTAAGCATGTTTAACACTTGCTTCAGCATTAACTAATGTCCATGGGAAATATCTGCCAATCTTGAAATGACAAAATAAAAACTTGTAGGTCATGAGTCTTTATATCCAATTGATGCGGCACGAAGAACACCTACTACATAGAGAAGGTGGAGATGTTTACTTGGAGAATACGTGGTTCTCTCAATTACTACAACAAGAGGGAGAGGAAGATGAGATGAAAAAGAGCTGGATAAAAGAGGACATGGTTGAAACAAGGGTATAAAATTATTTAAATGCTGATATGGTAAGATTTCACATATGCTAATTTAATACCCTTTCAAATGTAAGGAAATAGTTTAGATAAATGTATACAATTTCATGAAGTTCTGGGACGACGAAAGATTGCCACCGATCAACAATGTAAGCATATATAGTCTCTAGCTATATATTGTACACTACATAGAAAAACAGTAACTTATTGTTAATCTATATACCATGCATGACTCTCAACTTCACTTCGAGGATGGAATTCTTGGCGACGCGTTTTGGCGTAGTCGTGCAAACGAATGTTCCGACAACATCCCTGAATATCTTCAAGAGATGATTAAGGAGTTAGGCAAAATATAACTTAGATGGTCATAATATTAGAAAATTATACGTAGACTCAAGTACAATTGTTTTTACATTAGACTATGCAAAAATAATTTTATTGTTTTAAGAGACATTCTCAAGAAAAATCCGTAGCGTTAGCACAGGTATTATACTAGTGATAAGATAATACTCCATCCGTTCTAAATTATAATACTCCCTTCGTTTCAAATTATAGTTCGTTTGACTTTTTTGACTCTAAGTTTGACCACTCGTCTTATTCAAAAAAATTATGCCAACATAGTCAAATTTAAGTCATTCTTGAAGAACTTTTGTTAATAAAACAAGCCGCAACAAAAGAAGTGATATTTTACATAAATTTTTTAATAAGGCGAGTGTTTAAATTTGAGGTCAAAAAAGTCAAACAAACTATAATTTAGAACGGATTTAGTAACATTTATGATGTCAACTAACTACCATTAGATTCTTTATTAATTATATTTTCGTAGTAAACCTATTTAATGTCATAAATCTTTGTAATTCTCTCTATAGTTTTGGTCAAACTTGAGATATTTTGACTCTCCAAGATTTCTGGAATGACTTATAATTTGAGACGAAGGGAGTAATGTTCATATAGGATAGAAAAACACCAATATATCATATAAAATATGCTAAGTTATCTCTTGTGGCTAAGCTCTGAAGTAAAGACAATGTCAAGTGATCGAGAGAAAAAAAGGCTAGTGTTGAGACTTGTCTTTATGACAAGTGGGTCATCCGATTTGACGGAGACTTTTACGACAAGCGTCCTGTTCGTTGAAGTAGTGCTGCAGAACAGGGCGAAGATTGACAAAAGGGTGGTGGTTTGCTATAAATATCATGTTACCTTATGCTCATTTCCTTACAACATTTATGCTACTGCACTTCCTTTTAAATTCTTATGTGCCTTTACTTTTTTCTAAAATGGCATGATAAATTAGAATTATGGAACTGGCTCTATGTTGCAGTACTCATTTTGCGATGTGTGGAACACAATAGCTGAATCTTAGTGCAGATCTACATAGGTAAATAGAGGCTTAATTGAGCACACTTTTAATTTTGAGCGTCCTAATTCACCGCCCCCCTCCTTATGCACCAAATTCACAAGTGTAACAAAACCACTAACCAAGCTGTGGATTTAGCACGTAATCAGATTGTTTTCTACTTATTAATGAAATGACACGCAGCTTTGTTACATGTTCAAGAAAAAAATTCCTGTAGAAAATAGTCATGGGAATCTTCTAAGCATCTGGGTAGATTTTTATTAACAATGTCTGTGCTCAGTTATTCATTTTGCGTTGGACGTGTGAACTCCTTTTGCTATTGGTAAGAGTATACTATATCAGAAGAGAAAGAAATGGTAATAAGTCCACATAAGCCGTCACCACAAAATTATGGAAGACACAGCTCAAATTTATCAAAGGAAACACAGTACCATAGAATGTATACTACACGGCCTTCAATATCCAGCATCCATCGAAAATCAAGAACTGAGTAAGTATGCTTGAATAGCAGAAGGTACACCTGATCCTATTAGCCAGAAAACAAGGAGCATTCAGTTACAACAGCCCTAGACCTAACGACGGAATGATTGCTGCCCACCACCAGCTGCAAAGTTAGGGGAGCCACCATATGTAGCTCCAGGTCCGCCGAATTGCACACCACCTCGTCGCCCTGACACGCTCCCAGGCACGTAGTATGATGATGCAGCTGCTGGGTTTATATATCCAGCATGAGCTGCATAGTTTAAGGATCGTGAGATTGGGTTCTGGAAACGCGGACCAAAGTTTGAGCCCCTAGCAGCCTTGGCAGCAGGGAAGGGATAGGGTCCAGCTGCGCCTCGGGATCGCTTGTTCTGGAATCTGCTCGGGCCAGCTGCTTTCTTCTTCTCAGACTTCTCTTTCTCCAACTTCGCTAACTTCTTCTTCATGACCTCTATAGGAAACACTGATTGTAGCTGGCAGGACTCGACACACCTTATGATGGACCTGTACGCATTGCCCTCCAGGTTGTTTGCCTCTTCCTGGAAAAATTTTGAATCCAGCATGAGCAATTAATTACAATAACAGATAATACAGAAAGGCATTCTTCAGAACCCAGGAGCAAAGTAGTCCAAATGACTAGTATAACTGCATATGAGATACTATCAGCTACAAAGGGGAGAAGATTTGGTGAAAATCCATTCAAAGAAGACGATGAACAAATCCAAGAAGAGAATATCAGGTTGGTGCACATGGGTTTAACAATGTCTAGGTCCATTAAAAAGGAACTACAAGTACTGTCATAATTAAGGTTTAAGCGCTGAAATTAATTTTCTCATTTCATCGTCATAAGGAGGACAAGAAGGAAATGTTGAGGATTACAACCTGATGAAGACGATGGGCAACTGAGTCTTTCCCTGGGATGCGTTTTTTTTCAGGCTGTGTGTGTTGTTAGCTGTTGGCTTGTAACCAGTATTTCTGGACTGTGGAATTTATTCGTGCTTTGTAGTCAGTTGTAACTGGCTTTAAGTAGGTTAGTTTGGGAGTTTGCCTAGCCGGCTGAACCCTTTGCGTTCAGAAATAAATAAATAGACTAAATACAAGATTATACAAGACTCCTCACAGGTATCTGGGAAGAAAAAAGGGCTCTGCTCATATTACATGATTTATTAAGCAATCAATAACAGAGTGATTGGAACAAGGGCAGAAGAGAAATACTTACAAGTGCGGAACTGGAATGTCTTCCACTTTTCAACACCGCCTGAGCCTTATCTGTGGAATTCCGCAGATAGGATTTGAGGAGAGGTACAGGTGGAAATCTCTCAAGCAAATCAGCCTCATGGGCAACAAATATAGCCTCTATAACATTGCCTGACTTTATTAGTTCCTCAACAATACCTGAAAAGATTAGCACCAAGTAGCTTTTGTCAACTCTTGTTTCTCATTCAAAAATGTTTATTATTAGAGTACAGTTGAATTGAACAAAATACTAAATGAAAGTGTCAGATATGACAAAATTCAACATAGATTTTAAGGAAAGCCTGGTTCACTTCTCACCTAAAAGAAGGAAAATCCTTCAATTTAAAGTATGCACTACCTTAGTCTGGTTAACAGACTCAGGAAGAACATACTGTTGAATAAAAAAACTAAGATTAGAATAGATTATCTTAAACTTCAAACTATATTAGCTTCAGTAAATCAAGATGCACTCTCCAAAGACAAATTATTAAAAGCACAAACACAGTTGAATGTCTGCCAACTTCAGTGTTAACTGAACAATGGCGAACTCAAACCATGTTCTGCATACTAAGGCCACTTCGAAAATCAAAATCATGATGGCCTCAGTTCAATGAAATCCCATGGTAATTTCAGCAGTTTACATTTTTAAAATGCTCCAAATACTCAAAATATGGGTGCTGTTTCAGCACCAATGGTAACATTATCACAAAGCAAATTTCAGCATATTTCACATGGTTATTTAGATCCAGAAATCAAAACACCAAAGCAAGCATACAGAGACATTGAATAGGCTGACAAAAGGATTATCTCAATGAGGTATTCAGATGGACATCCTAAACCTGACACAAGATTATGAACACGTATGCCCCATTCTTAAACAAAGATTATCGATTTGTTAAGTAAACTTAAGAAATAGCTAGAATAACAGTATGCAATTTTGTTCTAACAATCTAACAGCAATAGTTGTTTGGGACTACCCCAACTTGTTTGGGACTTAAAGGCTTTGTTGTTGTTGTTGTTGTTGTAATCTAACAGCAATAGTTCGGCAAATACCATACAATCACAATTCAAAGAACCACAATCTGATCCTGAATCAGATAATAAATATAAGTTATAGCATACTTAATAAACAAGGTTAATAGATCATCACCTCCTAGGCTTTCCCCAAATCCAAGCACACACGCAAACCTAGCAAGCTCCCTCTTCCGTCCATTAGCAACAAATAGCCTTCTCAAGAACTCCTCATCGAACTTGTCCTTCAATCCAAATGCCGCTACCATCTGCACAAATATCTGTGCCTCCGGTTGTTCTGGTGCACCCTTATTACCTTCCTCTCCTTTATTCCCCTCCATGGCGCCCACTGCTGCTCCCTTCTTCTCATCCTCAGGTCCTATTTTCTCTGCCCCTTCTCTCTCCTCAGACACCTTTCCCTCTGCCCCTTCTCCCTCCTCAGACACCTTTCCCCCTGCCCCTTCTCCCTTCACCTCATTCCCTTCCTTCTCTAATGCCTCAGGCTCCTCTACTATCTCTGGGCCCTCCTCGTCCCCTGACACAAGGGCTGTCTTCTCAGGGTCCTCTTCTTCCTCCTCCTCCTCCTCCACCTCCTCCTCTTCTTCTTCTTCTTCCTCCACCACCTCCTCCTCCTCCTCCTCCTCCTCCTCCTCTTCTTTTCCTTCTTTCTTCTCTGTTGTTCCTGAATTCCCTAACCCATCAGCTTCGGCCATCTCTACCTCTTTGTCCTCGGAAGACAATTTGTCCATATTGATCCCAAAGCGCTCTTGCCACTCTTTGGTTACTGCAAACGCCCTCTCAACCAATGTATCTCCTATCTCAGGAGGCTTCCGGCCATTGGAATCCAACAACGAGCGCAACAACATGCCGAGCACCCAGCATTGGTCCTCGCCGACGCCACTGCCAGCGGCTAAGAAATCGCTTACCACGTCGAGGACAAGGCGGGGCGGGTCGACGGCCATGGCGACAGCGGGGCCCGCCTCCTTCCGGACCACGGCGAGCTCCCGGCGGTGTGCGGCCATGAAGCGCCAGAGCGCAGCAGCGTCCATGCGGCGGCATATCCACCGGAGCGCGCCCTTGATGTCGGTGGGCGGTGGCCCCGTGGATTCAGTCTCGGCCTCAGCGACGGCGGCGGAGAGCGCGGCGGAGGCCGCGGCGAGGCGCGCGGGGACGGCGGACTCGCGGGCCTCGAGCGCCGCGAGGGACTCGGAGGTGGAAGCGTCGGCGGCGGCTAGGGCTTCCTCGAGTGCGGCGGAGCGGGAGGTGAGGTCCTCCTCGAGCGAGGCGAAGTGTGCGAGGGCGCGCGACCAGGCACCGTGGCAGTCAGCGAGGATCTGCTGCTGGGAGTCGAGGTGGGCGAGCAGGCGCCGGACCTCGCCCGCGGCGGCGGAGTCCTCGGTGGTCGCCATGGCGGTGAGGGCTGCGGGGAGGGAGGATGGGGCCAAATTAGAAGAGGAACAGTCTAGATGGACTTGTTTCGTTGCCGTGGACATGGAAGTGGGCTTTGCTCTCGATTTACACTAGGGCTCCAATGGGCTAACTTATGTTAACCGGATTGGGCTTAGCTGGCCAAGTCGGTTTGGAAATTTAATGAGCTCAGGAAGATGGACATACTTGTTTCCCTAGTTTTCTCAAAAAAAAAAAATGTTTCCCCAGTGTTTGACGTGTTGTGTATTACTCCCTCCATCCCTGAATAAATATATTTCTAAAGTTGTATAAAGTCAAATTTTTTAAATTTTAACCGAATTTTTAGAAAAAGTCTGTCAAGATTTACAACATTAAATTAGAATCATTAAATATACCATAAAATATATTTTCATAATAAGCTCATTTTGCATCCTAGATGTTGTTGCTCTTCCTGTAAATTTAGTCAATCTTGAGATAGTTTCACTTGTATGGATTTTAGAAATTAATTTATTTAGAGATAGAGGGATTATTTTTATCTATTTATCTATATAAGTCGGCCAGGTTTCCACACAAAGGGATCAATGCATTAGGCATGAGTGGTGGTGAGAAGGGATGTAGCCATGATGATTGCCTCTAAACAAGGGAGTGTAGCCCACAACGTCATCATTGTGAAAAGGGTTTTTTCCAAATGACCCCTCGTCTAACTTGAATTTGCAAGCGGGTGCCACCATGGTACCACCACCCGTAGATGTCACTTCTGAGCACCAAGCCATCTAGCTCTCTTTGATCTAAAGCGAACCTAGGAGAGGATAGATCTAGTAGTTAGGCAAGGAGCAAAGAATCGCCTAGGATGCAAGCACTAGAGGAAGATACTAGAAATAACCACCATACTTAATGGTGCAAGAGCCACGTTAGAGAAAACAAACTGGCCATTGGTACATAACTTCAACCTCCATTTTCCACACTGTAGCCCTCCATTGATGTAGCCCAGCAACCACCAGGGCATCAACTTGTAGCTGCTCCCATCCATGGAGCATCTGGTTGCTAGAACCGTCTGTAGCACAAAACATTCCAAACATGGCCTCTATCATATGCCAAAAGCCTAGGAACAACATCCAACACCCCACACTTCCACATCCTTGGCTACACCTAGACCATCGTGCCACCACACCTAAGGATATATCCAGTGCAAATTTTGTTGGGGATCTACTCATTCAGCCAAGGGAAAGGGCCGATCTAACCACAACAAAATAGATCAATTTTCAGCTTAGGGAAATGGGGAGGTTGAGGGGAAGAGAAGTAGTGCTCCAATGTCATCGTCCTTGTAGACATGGAGTTCCTGTACACGCACCAATAGTGGTGAAATGGCTAAGAGTAAGGCAAGTGAGTGGGGGACAATCAGTACTAGGAATCCACCAATGTCAACTGAACCACATGTAGTGACAATGCAAAGGGTCCAATTATTGGTGATGTCTCTTCTAGGCACTAGCACAATTTGAAAAGACAAATGTTGTCACTATCCAAATCCTCCAACAATTTGGAAAATAAAAATTCTGGCACTGTCCAAATTAACCGTCCAACTATGATTCTGAAAAAGATAAGATAGATCCTCTAGTTCTAACCAGAAAATGCAAGTGATCTATATAGGTTATCTTTCTCAATAAAGGCAACTGCTCTATTCTAGACTTTGCATGAGTTTTATGCATAGGCACAGCCATCTATTACCATAAGTCGAACCAATGAAAAGTAGAGTGCGATGACGTGGGAGTGTGGGGTGTTGGTCGTAGTTCATTGTAGTTCATGTAGGGGATGGCCATCCCCTACTGTACGTGAATTTGCACAACCATCTATTACCATAAGTTCAACCAATGAAAAATACCCTGTTCCGTTGAAATTTGGCTTATGCTGATACTTATACTAATTTGTTGTGAGAGAAAAACATTGTTCGTTCGCTGAAAAGTACTACTCAAGTAGTTCAATATATTGTAGTTCATGAAAAGTAGAGTGCAAATTCACGTACAGTAGGGGATGGCCACTTCATTTCGTCCAATCTTTATAATCATCGTAAGCAGGATATATATTCTCAGTTTTCATGCATTTGGAATAGTCAGCGCATGCACTTTGACGAGACTTGTAGCCTCGCTTTTAATTTGTACAAGTTTGGATCTCCCCTGCGGCCCTGCCTGGCTGCCTCGACAAAATGGAGCAAGCACCATGACACTGTTGTGCTTGCAGCACCAGGCACCAGGCAGAGAGCTAGAGACACTATTTGTTGACATACTGTACATAACTGAGGCCTTGTTTAGTTTCTCCCTCTAAAGTTTACTTTCTGTCACATCGGATGTTTGGACACATGCATAGAGTATTAAATATAGACTAAAAATAGCTAATTGCACAGATTACGACTAATTTGCTAGACGAATTTTTTAAGCCTAATTAGTCCATGATTTGACAATGTGGTGCTATAGTAAACCTGTACTAATGATGGGTTAATCAAGCTTAAAAATTTGTCTCGCGGATTACCGAGGACTTCTGTAATTTATTTTCTTACTGTTAGGAGAGAATGAACTCTATTCATTCGGTAGGCTTCAACCCAAACATGTACATGGGCATATATGCATAGAAGCCCTTACACAAAGAGGAAAGTACATAGACACATATACATTTATATCTAACACCCCCCTCAAACTCAGGGTGTGAAAGCTCTAGTTTGGTTTTGGTGAATTGATGAAACCCTAAGTGCTAACCTAGTTTATCAAAGTGATTATGAGATAGGTGGCACTACTTCAAGTGGTGAAGCAAATGAAGATCATAGCATGATGATGATGATGGCATGGTGATGATCAAGTGCTTCGACTTGGAAAAAAAAAAGAAAAAAAAGGCTCAAGGTAAAGGTATATTTTGTAGGAGCTATTGTGTTTTGGTGATCAAGACACTTAGAGAGTGTGATCACATTTAGGTTTGATAGTTGTACTATTAAGAGGGGTGAAACTCGTATCGAAATGCGGTTATCAAAGTGCCATTAGATGCTCTAACTCATTGCATATGTATTTAGGATCTAGTGGAGTGCTAACACCCTTGAAAATGTTTATGAAAATATGCTAACACATGTGCACAAGGTGATACACTTGGTTGTTGGCACATTTGAGCAAGGGTGAAGAAGTTAGAGGTGAAGAGGAGTTAGTCTTGCTGGTCACTGCGTGACTGGACGCTGGTCTCAGAGGGACCGGCGCGTCCGGTCAAGTGTGACAGCGTAGACGCCAGCGTCGGTCTGGGCCTTGGATTGACCGGACGCTGAGGTCCAGTGTCCGGTCGTGTTGACCAACAGCGCAGAATGAAGTCAACGAGTGACCGGACGCTGGCAGAGTCCGGTCAAGCATGATCGGACGCGTCCGGTCGAAGAAATTCGTTTCTGGAACCTTACTGGAAACGACCGGACGCTGGAGGCTTAGCGTCCGGTCATTTTGTGTGTTGCGTCCGGTCAACAGATGACCGTTGAAATCTGACGAATAGTATTTGAAGCAGGGGACACGTGGCGTGAATCACGTGATCGGACGCTGAGGGCCAGTGTCCGGTCGATCCGACCGGAGCGTTCGGTCACCCCGTGCTATACCCAGTGAAGGGGTACAATGGCTCTATTTCATGGGGGCTTCTATTTAAGCCCTATGGCCGGCTCAAGCTCACTCTCTTGGCCATTTGCATTGACATAGCAACCTTATGAGCTTAGCCAAAGCCCTCCCACTCATCTCCATCATAGATTCATCATCTTTGTGAGATTAGGAGAGAATCCAAGTGCATTTCTTGAGTGCTTGCATCTAGCGGCACTTGGTGTTCGTGTTTCGCTGCGGGATTCGCTTGTTACTCTTAGTGGTTGCCGCCACCTAGACGGCTTGGAGCAGCGAGAATCATTGAGCGGAGGGTGGTGATTGTCTTCGGCTCCGATCGTGGTGATTGTGAGGGGTTCTTGACCTTTCCCCAGCGGAGCGCCAAAAGGTACTCTAGTGGATTGCTCGTGGCTTGTGTGATCCTCACCTTATGTTGGTTGTGCGGCACCCTATTGAGGGTTTGGCGTGTGATGCCAATTAGCGCGTGAACCTCCAAGTGAGTGAATCGCCACAACGAGGAGTAGCTTGCCGGCAAGCAAGTGAACCTCGATAAAAAATCATTATGTTCATCCTTTGATTATGAGGTGATTGGTCTTCATTGTTATTCATCCTTGTGATTGATTGGTCCCTTTATCTACACGGCGATATAACTTTCTTAATCACTCTCTTTACATTATAGTAAACTAGTTGTCAAGCTCTTTAGTGTAGCTAGTTATGAGAGCTTGCTTGCTTGGTTGGTGTGGTTCTTTAGTTAGCCTTTAAGAGCACACTAACATAGGGAAGTGTCATAGCTATTGTGTGAATAGATACTATCTAAACTAGAATTGTGGTAGGTGGCTTGTATTTTGAGTAGGCTAGCGCAACTCTTGCTTTACCTTATAATTGTCTAACCATTTTGTTAAGTGTTGTTATAGAAATTTTTATTAAGCTATTCACCCCCCTCTAGCCATTAGGACCTTTCAAGTGGTATCAAAGCCGAGGTCACCGTGATTTGAGGCTTAACAACCTTCGATGTAAAAAATGGCTCAAATCAACAACACAAAGAAGTCACCCCAATTTGATGGCTCCAACTATCCCTATTGGAAGGCTAAGATGACAACTTATATCGAGTCAATCAATAGGAGGGTTTGGAAGATGGTAGAGACAAAGATTGAGATTGAAGATGAAGAGGCTCCCACCGCCGCCGAAGAAATACTACTCCAAAATAATGATATTGCTCTTAGTGCCATCCATGATGCTTTAGATGAAAGAACATTTGAGCAAATCAAGAACATTGAGAGAGCTCATGAGGCATGGAAGAAGTTGGAAGAATCATTTGAGGGCACTCAAGCCGTGAAGGGTGCAAAGGCATACATTCTCAAAGAAAAATTTGCAAGCTTCAAGATGAAGGAGGATGA